TCCATGCAGCATCGAGGCTCCTTCATATCAATCCCTTCGCTTCATATTTTACTTCGCAAATGAAGCAATACGAGCGTCAGGAACGGTCGTCCATTTGTGGGCGGGCGGGCGAGGTGGGCGTCCGGGTGGTATGTTGCAGCTTGATAGGGCGCTACAAGGGTCTTCTCTGGAAAAGGCGCCACGCAGCGCCTGCTCAGGGGCGCGGAATTCCGTCCTGCCAGACGTATTAATTCCTACTCGTCTTGGACTTATCGTGCCAACTGCCTTTAAGGATACGAAGTTTGCAGATCACCTCGACGGGGCACGAAGTGGTACCCACCGAAGCTTGTACGGGCCACCTTGTAAAGAATTGTAGAGCCCTCTTTCCTAAGCTTAGAGGACTGTAGAGGCTCACTCGTACCCTTTCTCGCTGCTTCGCAGTAATTTACAGGTTTCACTTTGGTCACTTCGGTGTTGGCTTATATGAATTAACAAAGAAACCGACAAACGCGCAATTGCTCCCCCCTGCCGAATAGCGACGGGACATTGTACGATCACTTGAAGGTGGAATCATTCCTCGCCTACGATTTTTCTGTTCACAGTCGTTTAAGGAATGCCACTATCGTGACGTGAAAGGGCGTGGCAATGACATAAGGGGTTGACGAAGCAAGGGCTCTAAATCTCTCTAATTGCTTCTCATCGTCCCACGTTCATATCTGAGCGCCGTATCTGTCATCCTGCCATCGTCCTTCAAACTAAGATCTGCGCTATGTCCCCCCCCCCACCTCCTTGGACTTTTGGGTCTGCACTCGGTTTATAAATCATTTAAAAAAACATAGGTCAGTGAACACTGCTACTCGAGATTTGTGACTTATCATCGTTGATAAACGCTGACGTTTACTGCGACATTGTTTTTTTGCGAATTATTGAGGTTATTTGCAGGTAATATGGTGACAAAGCTCACTAGGAAAGAGGTCGCCGACCATAATTCCAGTAAGTCGTCGTGGTTTGTGATAGGGAACAAGGTCTACGATGTCACAAAATTCCTCGAAGAGGTTTGTTCCTTTTTTCACCTTATTATCTGTATGTTACGTAGGCAACGGGCAAACAAACGAAAATATGTGGTACAATCTGCACACATGCCGGGCGAACGAAAACGATAGAAAATTCAACAAAAAATAATCGATAAGATTCTAGCGTATTCGGAAAAATAAGCATTTCAGGAATTGCCCACCCTCTATTGCCCTACCTTTCAAAATCCAGGAGACATCTCGATGTACTGTGTTCGTCCGGTGTGGTGTTGTTTGTAGTGAACTTTGTTCCCTCCGTTCTAGTCTGTAGTCGCTCGACATGAGGCCGTCAAATACGAAAACACTGTTGCGGTCGTATGCCACCTATCGGGAATGCCGCTGATCAGCGTGAGAACCAGTCAGGGTAAAGTACAATGGTGTGACAAGAATGTACAAGGCTGTCCCATATTTGCGGACCACCGTGGCTGTTTTCAAAAA